TGCATATTCGTAATTGTTGAGGCCGTTGGCGGCCATTTGGATGAACTACGGGTGGCTTGATCCCTTGGGAAAGGGGGTACATAGGCAACCATGTTGGTGCAGCCGTGTTTGGAGAGACGACGTATTTGTGCTCTTTATTTGGTGCCGGCTCAGTTTTGACAAAATTTTGCCGAGGTGGAGAATTTTGGAGAAAACAAAAAAAAATCAGTTTTTCTGTCATAAGTCGGCTCATGCACAGGCATAAGTCGACTTATGGTAAGTCGACTTGTGTCTGTGCACGAGTCGACTTACGTTCTGCTCTGGAATTGTGATTTTTCGCTTTGTCAAGTCGACTTGTGAAGCCTGTTAAGTCGACTTACGAACTGTTCTCCAGTTGCTATTTTTCTCTCTGCCAAGTCGACTTATGGCACCTGTTAAGTCGACTTATGACGGGTTTTTGCACAGTTTGGTTTCCTATTTAGATTCTGTTTGGGTTTCTGTTTGGATATAAATAGGGACACGGTTTTTTAGGGTTTAACAACAGAGATTTGAGAGATTCAGAGAGACAATTGAGTATTGTGAGAGGGAGATATTGTGAGCAAGTTGAGAGCTTTAGTTGATGGTTAGTTTGAGTAATTTTGTGTGATTGTAACCCTTTTGTACTCTTCTTGATTTAGTGGAATCTTCCCATCATCTCCCTATGGACATAGGCAAATTGTCGAACCACGTATATCTCTGTGTTTGGTTGGATTTGTCGTACTTGAATTGGATTGTGCTCATGTGTGGTTTATCTTCTTCCCGTGATCTCAGACTCGTTGTGTGTGCACGTGCACGCTTCCGCATAGGCGCGCGACAATATTAATATAGAATAAGATATATTTGGTAATTATTTTTTTCATAATTGAAGATTCAGTATTCCCGATTTTGAGTTTTTGATAAGATATGTTCTATAATATATTTTGTAATTAAGATTTTTCATGATTAAAGGTTGTGTAAGATATTAGTTAATTAAGATTAAGATTAATGATGGATGGTTTAGATTAGGTACAGGTGGTAAAAAATTTTAAGAAGAGAACTGACGTGACAAGTTCTGAGAGGGGTTATTGAAAAGGTTTTGCTTTAGAATACACATATAGAAACAAATTATGTAGAGAAATATTATGAATTAGAATAACAAATCAAATAACTTTCAAATTATCTAAGTATGTCTAGTGGGTTAGCATGTCTATTAATTCAAATGATACACCAACCATCTAAGTAATCCAATTCTTATTTTACTCTCCAAATTATTATAATTATTATTTTACTTTTTTAATTGCAGTTATCCATCAATTTTGTTAGACCCTAGAGGGGGGGTGATTAGGGTCTTATGCTAATCTAATCCGATTTTATGCCAATTAAAATTAAGTAACAAGTTATCCTAGCAAGTATGAAATACAACAAGATATATGAGCTAGGATAAACAATATGAACAATGAGATATATCCTATATGATAAAAATATATGCAAGGATATATAAACTAACACAAGGGTAAACAATATGAACTAGATAGTGGATCATATATACACCTCACAGTATCGGTTTTCAACGCTCACCGATCAACGTCACTCCTCACAATCGGTTTTCTAGTTCACCGAAAACTTTCACACCACACTCGGTTTCTAGCTCACCGAAAACCTAACAATCTCACAATGTAACAAATATAAATTGTTCTCTAATATGGATGAGAACACAATAAAAGCTCACACTCAATGCTACAACTCTCACAACCCTAATATATTATGAATGCAAATACAATAAGCTCAAAGTGGGTGTGTGTAACAATGAGTGAAATCAAATCTAAACTCAATATAAAACTAGCTTTAATAGAAATGATAATTGACAAATAATAAATGAAAGCTAGAGTAGAGTTTAGAAAACTTCTCAATGGAAGACAAGATGGAGAGATGGTGATTGGAGCCCAAACAAGAAGATGATCTCCTCCACTTGTGAAAACTTCTTCACAAACAAAACAAACCCTTAAACACACTTAAACCCTTATTTAAAACTTGTTTAAAAACTTCTTGGCTTCCTTGAAAGAGAGCAGCAATAGGGTATTTATACCCACTCTAAATCTCAGTCAAAACCCCTAACAAAAGACAAAAACAGCCCCAGCAAACAGCTCAGGAAATAGCCGTTGAAAAAGCAACGGATCTATTGTCGGTCGACCGGCGGAAATATCGGTCGACCGATGGAGCTCTCGGAAAATATCATCATTTTACAAACTAGTCCAAAACATGAAAATATGAGATACTTGAATTTTGATGTTTTGACATAAACCAACTTTTGAAACTTTGTGAAATGTTTTTATAGACTTAGTGAAACATGTATAAACTGATATTCAATTCTACAAACTAAGAATATAATATTTTCACAAAATTGCATATTCTATGCAATGTTTTCAAAACCGCAATAGTAAATATGAAATATGTGATTTCATATTATAAACATAAAAACTCAAAAACTATGTATGTATATATATAACTATATATATGCATAGAAACCAAAACTTATGTATATATATATAACTATATATATACAAAGAAACCAATAAGTGTGTGTGTATAGATATTGAGCTTAGAGTAAATAACACACATAATATAAAATCTAAAACTATATTACCCAAGCAATCTTGATCTTTAATTAAGCTTGACTTGGTACACTTTGCGGATGAAGCTTGAACTTGATCTTTAACTTGAATTGTACGTTAGTTCACTCCACAATTCCGCCAACCTCCATTTGATATGATCGTTATGGCAATCCATCCATCCTCCAACTACGTTGTTTGTCTACAATACATAAGAATGTACAAACACTAGACAAACAACATTAGTAGTAAATTGTTTGTAAATCATCATCAAAATAAGAAGGCCAACAAATTTATCTCGTGATGTATCATTTATGGAATAAAATTGGAATGTTAACTTGAAATAGCTCACTTTTCATAGATAAGTGAACTATCTAGTTAAGTTAATTAGACATAAAAATAATTAATATAATATTTTAGAATAATGTTATAGTATTATCAATATAATTATTCTTTCATGTCCAAACCTTTATTAATATCAATTTAAAATTATCGGGATTAACAGCATTTAAATTTATTAACTTAAATAAGCAAGTTTAGTCATATCTAGAAAAAAAATTATTTTAAAGAATATTTTAATTTTGCCAATTCAAATATAAGATAAATTAAATTCGAGAGAAGATTATAATGTACAAATTGAAATAATATAATGTACAAATTGAAATAGCAATTACAATGAATTTGGAGAGTAATTATAAAAGGGAACAATGCTTTAAACTTCATATAGATTGCAACCATGCGTTTCCTCCCAAAAATTAACTAGAAAAGGACTAAAAGGATTCCCCAAAGTTTGCGATGTATTGGATCTAAATCCTAAATGGAAGGGGCCGTGTACCATTTTGAATTTATGGTATGTGGTTTTAACATTGAATATGTTTGCAAGAGATTATTTCCATGACTTAAACTCTTAATTGGAAATTAAGCTAAGGAGTTTCATTCTTAAAATGGAAGACAAAAAGTTTAAGAACATATCATAAGCATATGGAAATAGATCCTTAACAACTTCGCTCCTAAAATGAGAAACAGAATCGTTCAGTGAGATCAAAAGAACTTCATCCTACTACATCTGCAGAGAAATAGGGGTCA